TGTTGGAGATGATAGGGGTAGTGCATACGTAGAAAGGAAAGGAAACAAGAATATGAAGGATGAATTACAGAAGTAAAAATAAAGATAAAAATAAAAAGTTGTAACTTTACATGTATGGATGACCATAGTCAATAGTTAAATATGAGCCGCAATAAACCGGAGTCATGGTGGGCGTAGCTAAAGCAAAGTGTGTAATGCTGGGTCACTGTGGCTGGGGCCGAAGTAAAAGGTGACACTGGGTCACTGTGGCCGGAGCCGAAGTAAAATGTGTGACACTGGGTCACTGTGGCCGGAGCCGAAGTAAAATGTGTGACACTGGGTCACTGTGGCCGGAGCCGAAGTAAAAATGGGTGACATTGGGTCACTGTGGCCGAAGCCGAAGTAAAATGTGACACTGGGTCACTGTGGCTGGAGCCGAAGTAAAATGTGTGGCACTGGGTCACTGTGGTCGGAGCCGAAGTAAAATGTGACACTGAGTCACTGTGGCCGAAGCCGAAGTAAAACATGTGACACTGGGTCACTATGGTCGGAGCCGAAGTGAAACACTTGTGCAAAATTTAAATGAACAAAAGTGAGCAAGAGCGTTGAAATGGGATTAAGTGGGCCCATCTGAGAAGCCTGACAAAGAAGCAGCACGTGACGTGACAACTGTCCTCTGAATGACGTGCATAATAAATGCCGCTGTAAAAGGATAACTGCAACAGTCCAAAGGGCCGATTTAAAAAATGAACCGTCGAGTTCGAAACGGTGCTATTTGGGGCTAACCGACGAATTCCAAATAGTGTCTTTGCAACCGTTAGATAGAGTTAATCACGGCCGTTGAGGCGTGTTTTGCCTTTGGTATAAAAGGCTAGACTTCTGTAAAAAGGGGTTTTTACTCTCACTATTTTGCTGTCAAATTCTTGCCAAATTTCTACAGTTCGTGCTAAATTTCTACGGTTTCGTGCGGTTTGCGCTGTGTTTGAGGCTTCAACAACAGTTTCCTAAGACCAAAATCAGGTAATGTTTATGAATTTTTGATTTTGGTTCTGTCGAAGTGCTGTTATCCTTTCTACCCTTCTGTGGTTGATTTGGGGTTTTTTGAAGGAAGTTAGGGTTGGGGGTGAGAATGTATTGAGTGTGTTAGCATTTTTAAGGGTCCTGACTCTGTTCCTCCTCCTATTTTGTGCAGAAATTGAGGAGATGTCTTCAGAAGGGATCGTGAGTGTAGTGGGGAGTGAGATGATGCCCCTGGATTATGGGAGCATGGATGCGGAGAGCAGTCTGTCTCCATCTGGTTCGGAGAGGACGGTGGAGGAGAGGAGGGATCAAAGGGTAGTAGAGGAGGAGGAAAATGAGATTCCCTCAAATATTTTAGAGGCTGGGGGGGATGTAGATGGGTGTTATGACCCAGACTTAGATATAGTGTCCGAGGTGAGGGGGTATGTGAGTGAACTGGGCAATAGGAGCAGCCTTAAGGGTCTGGTAGAGAACTGCAACCTCCCGCACCATGTCCTGATTAGGCCTGCCGGGGTGAACGAGTGAGCATGCTCAGCACCCCGAGATCATTGGATGCCCCTGTATGTCCATTATCTGATTGCAGGGCTTAGGTTTCCCATCCCAGAGTTACTAGTTGGGCTGTTACTAGATTACAGCATAGGGATCACCCAACTAACCCCAAATGCCGTAAGGGTAGTAATAGGCTTTCTTGTATACTGCAGAGCTCGGGGGGTTGGGGTTCCTCCAGTAAACATGTTTAAACATTTTTTTATAATTAAGCCTGAGGGTAAGGGGGAGAAGGGATGGTACTACTTCGATCCTCGGTCGTCCAGCAAAGAAAATAGGAATTTGTTCTCTGCTGGACCGTCATCCATCAAAGGATGGAAAAAAAAATTCTTCTTTGTGGATGACACCGAGTGGAGTAGGAGGGACGCCGAAGTAGAACAATTGTCTGCTTGGAAAGGGAAGAAGACCAAGTAGAACAATTATAAACTGAATGAGGATGAAGTGGGGAGGTTGGGAAGCTGGTGAGGGAGGAAGGAGATGTAGTGGATATCCTGTACCTCACCAGCCCGAAAGCAATAGAGGCTGCAGAGCTCTATGGGCCAAGCTCATTGAGCGAAGGTTTGCTTGTTTTCGCTTTATATGGCTTACTTGAAACTACACTTAGTGTGTTTTAACACTTATTTTTATTCTGTAGTTGAGATGGACAGCTTTATAAATGCTACTGGAGGGTTGCGTATCCCAAAGAAGCCAAGGAAGAAGTCAAAGACTTCAACTGCGGTAGAGAAGGGGGTGGCAGAAAGGGAGCGGCAGTCCAACACTTCTGCCCGGGCTGTGGATGTGCAGCCAAGGCTAGACCCTGTAATGGGGGGCAGTGAGGGGGCGAGTGAGGAGGTGGCACCGCTCCAGAGAAAGAAGAGGAAGGTGGCAGAATCGGCGGTTAGGAGGGATGAGCTGGTTGAGTTCGTGCCTCGGCCTTCACCTCCAGAAGTTGATGCTGAACTCAGAGAGAGGGAAGAGGCTGTGGTGTGAGGTCCTGGCAAAGGCAAAGAGCTCATCCCTCCTCATTCATACCAGAAGAGTTTGTTCGAAGCAACGAACACTACTGGAGCAAAACGGTTCCTCAACGCGACGCTGCCTGAGGTGGATAGGAGGCAAGCGACGCAAGAGGCGGTGGGCCACCTGGGGGCAACTGTTGTGAGGCATGCCCTGGAGGTATGTAAAGGAGTTGTAGTTTATTTACGTTTTATATTTGATTTTTTAACTTCTACATTTAAGGTCTTACTTCTACTTGCATTGCAAAGTGCAAGCTGGACAAACGCTCTAGCGCAGGAGTATGCGGAGAGCGTGAGAGATCGTGCCAGCTTGCAGAGGCAGTGCGAGCAGCTGCAGAAGGAGAGGGAGGAGCTGCAAAAGGAGAAGGAAGAGTGGGAGAAGGAGAAGAGGGAGATGCAGAGGAGGCTGGATGAAGTTCTACCTTCAGTTACCGAGCTCCAGAACGACAACGATGTCTTGAGCATGAAACTCGTTCTTGAAGAACGTAAGAGGAAAATCTGCGAAGAGAAGCTCGAAGCTCAAGACAAATATATTGAAAATATGAGGAAAGGAGCGGTGGAGCTGAAGAAGAACGTGAATCTGCTGGTTCACAACGGAATGGAGGAGCACATTGGCAACTTCCTGAACTTCAGCGTCTTCGAGAACATCATCAACCTGTACTAGCTACCAACGGCAATCGTGGCTTTCACTGACTGTAGAAAGAAGGTGAAGGCCCAGTACCTAGAGGTGGACATGACAACAGTCACCTTTGGGGAACAAGAAGAAGGAGTGGAGGAGGATGGTGAGAGTCTTTCTGCTGACTTCTGACCTCTGATCAAGCTGAGGTGGGAGCATGACGCAGAGGGACGCACCATCTTCCCTCCAGCCTTTGATGCTGAGCTGGTGGTAGTGGAGGAAGAGGGAGAAGAAGAAGAAGCACGAGGTGCTAGAGTTGAGGATCAGGCAAACCTGGCCGAAGTGCAGCCTCCCGAAGTGCATCCAATCTCTTCTGATGAAGTGCAGCAGCTGGTGCCTCCTGAAGCAGAAGCGCCACCCCTGCCTACTGGAGATGAGTCACTCCAACCACCTCTTCCTGCTGAGGAGCGGCCTCCCCCCTCAGCAGATTAGCAAGGGATATTTTGTTTTAACTGTGTTTACAATTTTGTAATTGATTTTGATGTATTTATGAAATTTTTGAAGGTATTTGTGACTTGCATATTTTAATATTTGTTTGTTGTTTCTGTTTCAAGTAAATTGCTTCGGGTAAAATAAACTGACTTAAGTAACACAAGGATCTGACTTTGGACACAATGAATAGTAAGGGAATTGACTTCGGATGCACATGAGGCGGACCTCAAGTATACAAATGAGAAAAGATAAAGTAAATCAGTTCGAAAATAAAGTGTGACTGATTAAAAATTCTTTCCCCAAAAATGAAGTGACTGAAGAAGTCACAATGAGCTAACTTCATAAATAAGCGAACTCCACTTCCAACGTATAGAAGGGTAAAAAGGACTGAATCACTTCGAATGTGAAGTGAAATTCATGAATGATATAAATGAATTGAGTTCGGATGTACATTGAGCAGAAAAATAGAATAATGATGGTTATCAAAATAAAACAAAGTTTACTGGAAAGAAGTGTATTAAGGGCAAAATTTCTTCAAGTTATTGACATTCCAGACTCTAGGAACACTTTTGCCTTCAATGTCCCGTAGGATATAAGCACCTGGGTGGGGCACTTTGGCTACAGTGTAGGGACCTTCCCAGTTTGGTGCTAACTTTCCAAATCGAGTTTCGAACCCCGTTAGACCAGCTTTCCTGAGAACAAGGTCTCCTACTTTGAAAGTTCGGGGTCGAACTCGTTTGTTGTAGAAGTTTGCTACTTTCTGCTTGTAGACTAGAGTTCGAAGTCGTGCTTCTTCTCTGACTTCATCAAGCAGATCAAGTCTCCCGAAGCAGTTGTCCATTTCGTCCTTCATCGAAATGGGTGACCCTGAAGCTTGGGACTCCTATCTCGAAAGGAATGACTGCTTCGGTACCAAAGGCCAGATAATAGGGTGTTTCACCTATTTCAATTAATTATAACTTTAGAATGCACTTTACGCATTATGTATATTTGCTCTAAGGTAAAACCGTGGCAGAAGGAGAAAAACAATGTAAAGTTAATCAAATAGAACAGGTTAAAAGTAATACCTGTGGCAGTTCGGCTCGTGGTTCTGTATGCCCAGAGGACGTTGTTGAGCTCGTCTGCCCATTTGGCCTTGTGCTGTTCCAATCTCGGCTTTATACCTTCTAAGATGCATTTGTTAACAGATTCGACCATGCCGTTGGACTCTAGATGGTAAACCAAGGTGAACTGCAGTTTGATCCCATAGCTGGAACAAAAATCCCGGAATGAGGAGCAATTGAATTGAGTTCCGTTGTCAACTACAATCTGACTCGGGATCCCATATTTGCAAATAATCGAGCTGAAAACAAAGTCTTCAACCTTCTTGGAGGTAATACTGGATAGTGCCCGAGCTTCAACCCATTTTGTGAAATAGTCCACACCAACGATGAGATGGGTTACACCTCCTACCCCCTTCATAAATGGACCTAAAAGGTCAAGACCCCACTGAACAAATGGCCAAGGTGCTACTAGAGTAGTGAGCTCTTCTGCAGGCCGGTGGATTAGATGTGCGAAGAACTGACATTTTTGACACCTCTGTACGAACTGGATGGCATCCTCATACATGTTGGGCCAATAATAACCTTGTCTAAGGACTTTATGGGCCAAAGTTCGAGCACCTACGTGACTTCCACAGACACCCTCATGCACCTCCTGAAGTGCGTATTCAGCCTCATAAGGGGTTAGGCAGCGGAGCAGAGGGAGTGAGAAAGATCTCTTGTAAAGGACATCATTAACAAGAGTGTACCAACATGCCTTCTTCCTTAACCTCATCTCTTCCTGTTTATCCGCAGGCACTATGCCATCTTGTAAAAACGAGATAATTGGATCTATCCAGCTCGATGAGCTAGGATCTGTGCTGACCTCCATCATTTGTGGCTTCAAGAAGCTAGGCTCGTCCAGAATTTTGACAAAGACCGATCTGGAGCTTTGGTTGCCATCAGAAGCAAACTTGGAGAGGGGGTCTGCTTCCTCATTTTCAGCTCGAGATATTTTGCTTAAATGGAATTTCTGGAATTTGGATTTCAGTTCGGCCACCAGAGTTGCATACTTCATCATAACAGGATCAGCCACCTCACAAACTGAGTTGACTTGATTAACTACTAGCTGTGAATCACTGTATATTTGTATCGCTTCAACCTTCAGTTCTGTCGCCAGTTGTAAGCTGAGTAACAGGGCTTCGTACTCGGCCATATTGTTAGTGGCATCAAAATTAAATTTTAGAGCGTGTTCGCTTCGGTACCCATCTGGGCCAAGTAGGATTGCACCAGCGCCAGAACCTTTGTTACTGGATGCGCCGTCAACATACAGAATCCAACTGTCCACCTTGGACTGAGAATCAAAGTGAGCCGAGGTGCATTCTACTATGAAATCGGCAAGAGCCTGAGCTCGGATTGCTGACCTCTGCTGAAATGTGATCTCGAATTCTCCTAGTTCAACTGCCCATTTGATCAATCTCCCCGAACATTCTGGCTTCTGCAAAATTTGTCTGAGGGGCTGGTCTGTGAGGACTATGATTGGGTGTGATTGGAAATACGGTCTCAGTTTCCTAACCGAAGTGACAACTGCTAAGGCTGCTTTCTCAGCAATGGAATATCTGACTTCAGCTCCATGTAACACGCTACTGATGTAGTAAACTGGTTTTTGTTGCTTTCCCTCTTCCCTTACTAACACAGAACTAATAGCCTCATCTGATATGCCGAGGTACAAGTAAAAGATTTCTCCATCATCAGCCTTTGTCAGCAAAGGAGGTGAGCTAAGATAAGACTTCAGCTCATCAAATGCAGCTTGACATTTTGAATTCCATGCAAACTTCTTTTGTTTGCCAGATTCATCCTTCTGAGCTGCCAATCTCATAATCTTGAAGAACGACAGGCATTTATCTGCTGATTTCGAAATGAATCTATGAAGAGCTGCTACTCTCCCTGTCAACCTTTGCACATCTTTCACTGACTTTGGTGGTTCCATCTCAGCTACTGCTTTGATCTTCTCAAGGTTGACCTCAATCCCTCTTCTAAACACCATGAAGCCTAGAAACTTTCCCGACTCCACACCGAAAATACACTTTGTTGGATGTAACCTCATCCTGTTCTTTCTAAGGTTGTTGAATGTCTCCTCGAGGTCGGTTAAGTGATCTCCAGCTTTCAAACTTTTCACCACTATATCATCAACATATACCTCCAGATTCCGGCCTATTTGAGCTCGGAATACGATGGTAACCATCTTCTGGTAAGTGGCACCTGCGTTCTTCAAGCCGAAGGACATCATTACACAGCAATAGATTTCATCGCCAGCATAGAACGAGGTTTTATCTTCATCCTCAGGAGCCATTGGAACCTGGTGGTAGCCAGAGTATGCATCCAAGAGACTTAATCTCTCGTTTCCAGAAGCTGCCTCAACCAGCTTGTCAATGTTTGGCATTGGGTAACAGTCTTTTGGACATGCGTCGTTGAGGTTAGTGTAATCGATGCACATCTGCCATTTACCGTTTGCTTTTTGCACCAACACAGGGTTGGCGACCCACTCACAGTTATCAACCCTTCTGACAAAACCAGCTTGTAGGAGTTTCTCAACTTCTTCTTTAATGACTTGTAGCCTCTCCCCCCCAAAGAGGCGCCGCTTTTGGGCTACTGGTTTCTTGAGTGGATTGGTGCTGAGTTTATGTTGAGAAACTGAAGTGGGAATTCCCGGCATATCTGCTGAAGTCCATGCAAAAACATCTTTGTTGGCTCGAAGGAAAGCTATTAGCTCTGCTCTTTCCTCCGGGTTCAACTTAGTTCCAATTTGCGTTTTTCGGCTCGGATCTCTGTCATCAATGTGCACCTCTTCAACATCCTCAACTGGGGCAGCTCTGGTTTCATCTTCCGGTCGGTTATCTATGATCTCAACACCCATGACTTGCTGATTGTCAAAAATCTGTTGGGGAACGGCTTCAGGTATTTGATTTTTGCCCTTCTTAGGTTGTGTTACCGAGGTGATGTAGCAATGCCGGGCTACCTCCTGGTTACCTTGCAGTGTTGCTATTCCCATGGGAGTGGGGAACTTCATGCAGAGGTGAGACTGGGAAACCACGGCTCGGATGTCAGTCAGTGTGGGTCGGCCAATAACAACGTTGAAGGAGGATGCCATCTTGACTACTAGAAACCGAACAGAAGGAGTCACAGAGGTTCGGCCACTCCCAAATGCAACATTCATGGTTAGGACACCTTCAATTGGAACTGGCTGGTTATTGAAACCATAGATGGGACCATCATATTTCTGCAATAATGCCAGATCTAGTTCAAAACTCTCAAAACAGTGGAAGTACATGATGTCTGGTGCACTCCCGGTGTCAACAAGGACACGTTGTACTTCACAGTTGTTAATCAAGACAGAAGTGACCAGAGGATCATTGTGGGGTGTAACAACTGTGTCAAAATCAACAGATGTGAAAGTGATAGGTTGATTCTTCCAGTCAGCATCGTCAAACTTCCATTTCTGAGCTCGATTTGGATGCTTAACCTCTCTGACATACAACTTTCTCTGTTTGGAGCTCAGCCCTCCCGCTTCCAAGCCCTCCCACTTCCAAGCCTCCCGTAATCATGTGTATGATTCTAGCTGGTGGTGGGAGCGGTGGTGGGGCTTGCTGATATCCCACACCTTGCCTGTTTGGGGGATTGCGGACTCCTTGATGCTGTGGCCCCTATTCTCTGACAAACCTTGGCTGTTCAACTCTCTGGATGTACTCATTCAACATTCCTTTATGAGCCAGACTTTCCAGCTCGGACCTCAGACTATTGCATTGCTCTGTTGTATGACCGTGATCTTGATGAAAATCACAATACCTAGTGTGATCTCTGGTAGCAGCAGCAGTTCTCATTGGACCCGAACGCCTTAAGTCCATCTTATTCTTAATCTGCATAAAGATTTGTGACCTCGGCAAATTAAAAGGAGTCCAAGTAACTGGAGGTTTACCTGCAGGTTGTTGTGGAGGTGCTGAGTTCGGCCTTCCGAATCTCGGGGTGGAAGTCGGCATCGGACCTCGGTTTTATGTTGTCTTCATCCGTTTCCTGTTCGGATTCTCATCTCCCCAGTCCGGGTGTTGGTTCTTAATAGGAGTTGGATTCTGCGACAGGGCATATTCCTCAGCAGTGATGAATTTCAGTGATCTATCATTTACCTCACTGAAGGTGGTGGCAGGATGTTTAAGCAGACTATCTCTGAATCTCTCATGGCTAAGACCTGAGATCACAGCTGTAATTCCCACAGCCTTGTCAAAGGAGTTAACCTCCAGTACTGCATCATTGAATCTGCTCATAAAATTCTTCAAAGACTCTCCGTCCCTCTACCTAACTCGCATTAGATCGGAGGTAGTTTTCCTGATCAACCTTCTACTGGAAAACTTTATGGCAAAAGCAGATGTCATTTCTGTATAAGAGCTGATTGACCTCGGAGGTAGACTGTAGTACCAGGTTCGAGCATTACCTCGGAGAGTAGAGGGAAAGATTTTGCACATCAACGTATCAGAGGCGTTCTGGGCTTGCATGCAAGAGTAAAAAGCATGGAGATGGTCATCGGGGTCCTTCGTCCCATCATAGGTTTCGAGTTGTGGTATCCTGAAGCCAGTGGGGTAAGGTTCCAATGTAATGTTAATGTTCAAAGGATGGGGTATGGAGTCAGCAGCATGGTGTGGAGGTGGGGCACCTCGCTGTTCAGCCACTAGCTTTTCCAAGCTGTCTAGACATCGAGTGACATCATCATGAAGGGGTTGCTGAACTGGTGCGATGTGAGATTGGCCCTGAGATTCACTAATAGCGGGAGCATGCTGAACTGGCTCAGGATTTTGTTGTGGAGCTGGGGGTTGTGGAGCAGGATTAAGTAGGTTGATGAGTGGATCACCAAGATTGTTCCGGGCTAATAGCTGAGCCAGCACTAGCTGAAAGACACCAAACTGTTGTTGCATGGCAATGAGCTGAGTTGCAATTACGTCTTGGTTAGCAGTAGAGGCTGAGTTGTGAGCCGAATTGTGTGGCTGATTTTCATCTCCTCCTTCTGCATGGTCAACATGAGGGAGTGTATTCGGGATTGGGGGCGGGGGATGAGGTGGAAGGTTGCTGGGGACCTGACCTCATCCAAGAGGCTGAGATGAGTTTCCACCTCTGACTGACCTAGTTTTAACCATGATGAGAGCAACAAGGGAGCTTTCAGTGCGAGTTTCCCACATACGGCACCAAATGTAATTGCACCAAACCAGATGTCCTTCAGTCCGTATCTGCACTTCGGATCGACCTGCAAAGCCCCGAGATGGATCTCGGGGTAGACACTCCGATGCTTAAGTCATCAATAATCGGGGCTGCCAATAGAGCAAAGACTAGAGAAGCTTAGGGTTGGTTTCAATTACCTTTCTGACGTGACCCTTGAGGGGTATTTATATGTTCCAATGAAGAACCCATGTGGCATGCCAAGCAAGATATTCGGGATCTGATGTGTATCTCCAAGCAGTTATTTCGAGACCGGGAAATTAAGCCAAGCAAGATATTTAGGATCTGATGTGTGTCTCCAGGCAGTTATTTCCGGATAGGAAATTAAGCCAAGCAAGATATTCGGGATCTGATGTGTATCTCCAGACGGTTATTTCGGGACCGGGGAATTGAGAGATATTTAGATGCGAGAATGTCCATCATAACTGTTGTGCAGCTGTTCGAGCGAGAAGCTCTGGATTTACTCTTCACTCCGGTTGTAAAGGAATTACTGTCATACGTCCGAGGTTGGGCACCTCGGTCTTGCTCTTACAGATAGTTATGCTTCCGAGTACACTGTTTTGGAGTAGTCCTGGAAGCAAAAACTTGAAGGCTGCCTTACGCATTCTAGTCTAGAAATTACCTGTGAACCGAAATAACGCCGGAATGTCGCCAGAATCTCCACTACCAGCTTGCTCCTTTGAAAGATTTTGACCACTAAGCTCTGCAGAGGAAAAGAACTTCGCTCCTGAGGCGTGGCCATCTGTGTTGGTGAAAATCAAACAGCAAGAAAAAGAGGGTTTGAGTTTTTTCGCCGGATTTAGGGGGGTAAGGTTCGAATGACCACGCCGCCGCGCTTTCTATTTTCGGCCTATTAAATTTAAACCCACGTCGTGTGGTATCTGACTGCGACTTTGAGCTTTAATCCTCGACTTTTTTCACTTGTCTCTTTCGTCCCCTATCTTTTTGTTCGTTACCTTGAAGTCCCTTAAAAATTAGATTCACATTTTAAATCTCTTCAATTAGGTACCAAATGACATTTAATTAAATTAAATCTCAACTTTTCTTGTCAACATATTTTAGATTAGTTCCCACGTCACATCAAAACTAAAAAATTTAGAAATTTTCATTTAAAGTTAAAACCCATGGGAAATTAGGCAATTGTAATCTTGTACTCTTCTTTTCAAAATTATGCAATTAAACCCTAAATTTTTAATTTGTTCAAAATGCACCCATAGGTTTCAAATCTGTACCGTTTAGTCCCTCTGTTTTTGTTTGTTCAATTTGATCTGTGCATTTCCATTTCTTTTTAATTAAACCCAAAACTTTCAATTCTCATTCTCATACCCATGTATATGCTTGATTTACTCCACTTCAGGCCATTAATTTAAATAAACATTTGTGAGTTAAATAAATTCCCAAGTTTAAAATATGTAACCTTGTTAACATGGAGGATTGTGATGTGCTCGTATGCCCTTTCTCACTCTTAACCAAACCCCTAAACCTTGATTTCTTGTAAAGCAATGGCAACCTACTGCACCTTCATTTCAGTAGGTGGCGATTTTGATTTCCCAATCATCAAAACTTAATTTTTTATTTTTTTGAAACTAGTCGATTCAACTGGTTAAACCAAACCTAATTTAAAAATGGGTTGGGTTATAATAATAACCCATTTGAAGTCATATTTGGTCAAAACCCACTTAGACCTAGTCAAACCTACCCAAACTCGATCAAACCCATCCAAACCTAGTCAACCTAATTAATTCGAACCAATTAAACTCTTTTTTTAAAAAAGTTTTTTACATTTTTACATTTTTTTCATTTTTCTTTAATTTTTATATTTGTATTTATTTAATTAATAGATAATATAATAATTAAATTGTAAAATCTATTTAAAGTTAAATCAAAATTAATGAATGAAAAATTTTAAATTAATTTAAATGTAATTTGAAAGTAAATTACTATTTTAAATTAGAGAGTAATTTTAATTTAAAATCAAATCAATTTGATCTTGGAAATAAAATAAGTAACTATTTTATATAATGAAATAAATGAAACCAATTTAAAGTTAAACTAATATTAAGTAATTTTGGAAAATAAACCAATTATTACTTTAGATAATAAAATGAACAAAATCTTTTTAAAAATAAAATTGTATGAAATCAATTTAAAATTAAGACTAATCTCAAGCAATTTTGAAAATAAAATCAATATAAAGAAAAAATAATTTTATAATTGATATGATATCAATGTTTTAGATGCCTATTAAAGAAAAATATATTATATATTTTAATAAATTTAATGAATGAAATTAATTTCAAATTAATAAATTT